GTTTCATACATAGCACCTTTCAAGATTTTACTTAGGGGGAATTCAACTTCATATGAATAAACTACACAGGAAGGCACTTTCTATTTTCTTCTCTCATTAAATTTAGTACATTTCTTAAAATGAGCACATCTTATCACATTGCTATAATTAATTTCTCCATTTAATTCTGATTCTGCTTCCCCCCACCCCATAACTTCAGGCCCCTCAAAACCACACACTATGTCCTAACCATTTTAATACTAGAGGCCCAATGCACGAAATTCATGCAAAGGGCTTGGCCCTCACAGCCCCGGCTTGGTCCAGAAGGATGTCTGGTCTAATTAGCATATTATACTTTTTATTATTATAGATTCTCAGTAATTGTGACTGCTTCTGGTTCACAGTAATTATTCAACAAATGCCTGAAGAATGGATGAACAGATGAATAAATGAATAAATGAGAAGTAGTATAGAACAATTAAGTATAATTTGGGGGCCAAAGAGACCTGGGTGTGAGATCCAGCTCTTCAATGGGATTTTGAATAAGGTACTTAATCCACTTAGATCCCGTTCCCTAATATGTAAAATTTGAACATTGGGGAAATAGTACTCCCTAACTCATAGGGAAATGGTAAGGATTAAATAGAATAATGCATGTAAAGCATTTAACACAATTCTTGGCATGTAAAAGTTTTCATTAAGTGCCATTATTTTTACTATGAATGGAGATAACTTAGTTCAAATATACTAGTACTGTAGACATGAGATTGAACAAAAATTATTGAAGAGGGATGGTTGTTTAGAAGAAGAGGAACTCAAAACTTTCTTTGAGGAAAAAAGGAAGATAAACTGAAGAATAGATGAAATTGGGGAAGGTCATTTGAGGCTCTTCAGTTTAAGCATATTGCCCAACATCACTGTTGAAAGCCTATTTTAAGCAGCCCATTGGAAAGGACATTGGGTTAAGACACTGCTTTTATTGCTCAAGAAATCAAGGTTGTTCTTTGGTGTCAAACCAAGCCAAACAGGAACAGCTCTGAATTTGTCCTAAATAATATTCCTCTCTCTAAACAGTCCTGACACTAAGCATAAAGACAACTTGATCTTTATGAGAACCAAACAGAGATATGCAACATTTTATTCCTGTATTTTCACCATATTTTTATTTTTATTTTTTTACTTTTAATTTCTTTATTGATTAAGGTATTACATATGTGTCCTTATCTCCCCATTACTCCCCCACACTCATGCCCTCACCCACTGTTGTCTGTGTCCATTGGTTAGGCTTATATGCATGCATACAAGTCCTTTGGTTGATCTCCCAGTATTTTTATACACACGATGTTTAAACTTTCCAGAGTGAATGGATCATGTTTTGTTGGCCTAACTGCTAAAATGATTGGAAGTCATTTGTGATTAAAAGTATGCCAAATGTCCTCAACCATTTTACATCTCCAAGGACAGGGGTATTTGCAGCTACCTTCTAGTCTAAATGCATTTTAACCTAAGTCCTTCAAAGTTACTAGCAATGACACCAGCTAAGGAATGATCAACAAAACTTAAGATTCATTATCTCCATTTCTTCCCTCTAATTTATAGATCAGCATTTTCTTCTTTTAGATCACCCGTCTCTTTCTGTCTCTCATGAATGGCCACCCCTATTCATGCTCTGAGAATTTTCATGTCACGCTGTCCTCAGTTACATGCTGATTAGAATGGACGTGCCTGGCTTTAGCAATGGGTCAAGTGTAAGTTCACGAAAGTAATAATGTGATTAGTGAACAATATGTTTTAGAAAAATGTTTCCCACCACCATTGCATGTAACATTTGTTTTTAAATGCCTTTCCCTTAAAACGTGGGTGAGTGCACATGCGCGCACACACATACATTTCAAGAACTAGTTAGTTCTTCACGATTAATTTTCTCTTTTTATTCTTGTTTATCTTTCCCCCTTTTTAAATAAAGAATACCCTTTACCTTTTACTGGGTGCCATTATCTATTAGGTGTCTCTTGGTAACAAGATGCTTTAGGTTATAAATACTATGCTAACTAGAGAATCCACCCCAATCCAAATTACCACAGTCCCATCAACAGCTACATTAACCAGTGTCAAGTGAGTCTCACAGAAAGGCTGGCTACAATACGCTCTGTGAATATCACTCTGTGACACTACGTAACATAGGGCAAATAACTTGCTTCTTCACCCATGTGTTAGCTCTGAAAACATATCTCTCATTAAGAAAAACTATATTCATAGAAAAGATCTCAGAATAAATAGGTATACTGTGCTGAGATAAAAGCAACAAATAATAACGCTTTGATTAAATGTTCAGCTTTCCAGAAATTTTTGTGTGTCACAAAATATGAAGTTCCTTTGTTTTTAGTTATCTTCAATAATGAATAAATGAGAATAGTATACTTGAGAGTGAATATTAATGGAATAAAGGAGGATATTTAAAAGGATAAATAATCCAAAATTTGTTTAAATTAGAATGAGACACACAAAAATCCCTGCCCGCTTGTATTTGTTAATTGGCCCTTACCATAGCTCTCTCTTCTCCTTCCCCAGCAATTTTCACATGGGCATTGCTTCCATGCCCATGCCCTTCCCTGGACCAAGGCAACACTCCCTGGGCACAGCACAAATAGAATTCTATTTCCCCCCTCTCTTCCACTAACACCTTCTAAAATTCTACTGCCAAACTAGACATTAAATGTGCAATGGGAAGATGTGAAGTTTAATATTATATAACTTAAAGAAACAAACTCTATTTAATTTAAGATTTTTATATAAATATTACAGACCCAGAAATCTTTAATTAGCATGCTTTCATTTGATGCTTTAGAGAACTGAACCTCATAAAAATGTTAAATGGCCACCAAACACTAGTGTTAGTAATAATCTAGAAATAGTGAATAAACAAACTTCCCTATGTATTAATAAGGGCAGGTTGACAAAAGTTATGCTGATATAAGAGCTATCCTCCAAGATGGGTCAATAATCTATTTCCCTAAGATTCTGGAAATGGGCAAACCTAGTTAATTCTGTATGCAATTTTAAATGAATAATAATAAAACCTGCAGTTAGAGTGGAGTACTCCTATGTGTAAACTGGGTTTTAAGTATTTTTTTAAATTTTTTAAAAATATATTTATTGATTTCAGAGAGAAAGGGAGAAAGAGAGAGAGATAGAAACATCAATGATGAGAGAGAATCATTGATCGGCTGCCTCCTGCTTGCCCCCACTGGGGATCGAGCCCACAACCCAGGCACGTGCCCTTGGCCGGAATGGAACCAGGGACCCTTCAGTCCGCAGGCTGACGCTTTATCCACCGAGCCAAGCCGGCTAGGGCTTACGTATTTTTTTTGTTTAATTTATTTAATCTTCATAACACCCCTGAGTGTAGGCTTTGTTAACACCCTTTTGCACACAAGTGGAACTGAGGCACAGAGGGTTAAGGTGTCTCAGGTCACATCCGCTGGTGAGGCGGTCTGCTTCAGATTCCACACTCTCAACTGCTGTAATATGGTGTGTGTGGCATCTATAGATGATTTTTATTCTTTTAATCCACAGAAACCAAAAAGAATATATCTACCCCAAGGAACAGAGTGGCAAAAGATTGTCACATGGTGTCTCTCTTAAATATTAGAATGAATCACATCACTATCCAAAAAGTAACCTAAGAACAAGAAGAAAACACGTAAGGCCATGCAGCTAAGAAAACCTAGGGAAATAGCAGCAAACCGGTCACCAGCTGAGAAACCACTTGATTCCTCTCTTTAAGCAACAGTATCAGGCAGACAGTAGCCTAGAGGAAGAAAAGCAGGCATCACTGGCCTCTGCAAATAACAGCCTTGGGGAAAAATGAAGATAGACATGCATCAGTCACTTCAGGCACCTCCCTCCTCCCCGTCAATATGTACATGGAAGAGGAATGTATTAATACCAGGCTATCCAGGCACATGTATGTCCCTGTGTGTTGTAAGGGCATTGCAAGATTATTGCTAGAGATTAAATAGGGATTCATATATAAAACAATGAACAAATAATTTGAATTCTATATTTATTTTTGTTTTGAGAGTTAAGTAAATATTATTAAAGCTAATTATTAGGGGGGAAAGTTACCCTAGAAAGAGAAATTCAGTGACTACTTGAATAAACTGCCCAATCGATCAAAGAAGGAATCATTTAGCATAGTGATTAGTTTTGATGAAAAATGTGTGAACCAAGCTTTAGCTCTTTAACTTGGTGACCTTTCTTTTTTATTTACGATATTAGTTTATTCATTCTTTAGCCTCTTGCATACTAGCTAGTAAAGAGTGTCAGACATTCATAGAGTAGAGGGAGCTTGGAGCTTCCCCAGGAAGCATCAAGATAGCAGCATCTACCAGCCTTTAGAAAGAGGATGCCTAATTGAAAACAAAACAAAAATCCCTGGTAACTCTTTATTCTCTGCAAAGATGAAGGACTATTCCTTCAGCCAAATAAGTACACCTGTGGCATCTAAGAGAGTCAAGGTCTGCCCCCATTTAGAAAGGACCAGGAGATAACACTTCTCATAACTATAAAGACAGTACAGAGGAATCTGTGGAAATTGCTAAAATCACATCTAGCACATGGGTATGTGAAAACCACTTATACCATATGAATAAACCCTTGCATTTTTAAAGAATAGAAACAGGAAACCAGACGGACACTCAGAGTGTCTGTGTCTGTTGATACAGCACCAAGCAAAGAGAAACACACGGCCAGACACTGACGCAGACCGTTTGGTTTGCACTCTCAACAGTTCCCAGCCACAGCTGGCTGCACTTGCAAGCGAGTCTTTTTTTCTCTGACCCAGCTGTGCAGAGCCTGGGACATTATATTGCAAAAGATGCCCAAATTAGTTAGGCTAAGTTATTCTGGCTTTTTCAGAAATCTTAAGAAAGAACACATTTTGTCTTTGTCCTCCCAAATCTCTCCCATTACTTACTTGCCCACTCCCTTTTCAATACCCAGTCACTCCTATTGCTTACTTGGGATATTTTCTAGACTGAATGAAGGGCAGAATCTCAGAGTCTTGACTAGATGAAGGAAGTAGTAAATCTCGAAGTCGTTCTGTCAAAAGAAAAATGAACACCAAGCTGTAAAAAAAATGTCATGAAAATAATTTCAAAATAGAATTATTTCCTCTTCTCTCACATTTGTTAACTATTTGACTGTGCATCCTTTATTAGAAATTTACTCACTGATCTCTATACTACTAAATTATATCTATTTCACTTTAATGATTATGTATCTTTTTATGATTAAGATACCACAACTGCGAATATGAAAATATCAAGTATTTCCGAAACCGGTTTGGCTCAGTGGATAGAGCGTCGGCCTGCGGACTGAAGGGTCCCGGGTTCGATTCCGGTCAAGGGCATGTACCTTGGTTGCGGGCACATCCCCAGGAGGGGGTGTGCAGGAGGCAGCTGATCGATGTTTCTAGCTCTCTATCCCTCTCCCTTCCTCTCTGTGAAAATCAATAAAATATATATTTAAAATATAGATCAATGTGAGCTTTCAAGTATTTACTAGTATAGACCAATAAAATCTTATAATTGAAAGATTAGATAAAATAGACATGACCAATAAATATACCAAGAGATGCACAATCTCATTAGTAACCTGTGAAATGCAAACCAAAATCACACACCATTAGATAGCATTCACGTTACATGGCATGGAATTGACAGACATTAATCTCACAAGACCAAGTGTTAGAAAAAATATAGATCAATGTGAGCTTTCTATGCTTCTGGTGGGAATGCAAGTTGGCCCAATAGCTTTGGAAAAACGATTTGGCATTATCTTTTAAGTTTAACCCTTGCACACACTATGAGCCAATATTTCCATTCCCAGATAGAAACTCTGAAGAAACCTTCAGATATGTCTTAGGCAGCAAGTAAAAATGTTCATAGCAGACACTGTTCACAACTGCACAATATAAACAACTGAACTGCCCATTGTCAGGAGAATGGACAATCTGTGGTATATTCACACAATGGAATATTAATTGAAATAAAACTGAATGAAATCAGTTACAAATAAAAACATAGTGAATCATATTAGTATGCTGTTGAGTGGAAAATAGCAACAGAATACATATATAGAAGAATATCATTCTTCTGTTGAGTTAAATAAACAACAACTAAGCAATGTATTGTTTACGTACGTTATATATGAAAAAACACACAAACAAACCAATGATAAAAGGGATGATATACACAACTCAGGATAATAGCTACCTTTTAGGCGGAGTAAGGGGATTAAATAAAAAAGCAAAGGTGTAACTATTAATATTTCGCATGTATTAAGTGTAGCATCATGAATGAGTGAATGAATAAGTGAATGAAAGCCAGGAACTGTCCAATGATAATATTAGCCCATGAACCAAGAATCTATATTATAAAAGGCCTGTGGCCTTAATACCATAACAACCAAAGACCGGCGCATGTGGGTGAGGCTGTGCGATTTCTTGCACTGGGCTTCTAGCTTGATGAATAAAATTCTGTCCTTATGCAGTTGGTAATGAAGGGAGGAGGGGGAGGTTAAGAGAGAGGGAGGAAGAGAAAAAAGCAGGGAGGGAGGGAGGAAGGAAGAGAGAAGAGTGGGATAAGGAGGAAGGGAAGGAAAAAGAAAATGAGAAAGAAAGAGAAGGCAAAGCAGAGAAAGGAAGAATCCCAGTCCTACCTTAGATCTAGTTAGACTGTACAGTTATCTGCTCTGTGTAATCTACCATTCTACTACAGATCCCATGTATCTAGGACTAGAGCTATTCATTACCTCTAGAGGCATTCCTAATGGGAGGCTTCCCTGATCCCGGCTTTCTTCCTCTCCTACCATATCTGGAATAGATGTCCCTACTCTACTCCTAGTATACTCTGTGCTTACACTCTTACAGAATTTATCACACTACATTTTTATTGTTATATGGTAGATACATATTCTAGTATCTATGGTACAGTGTCACCAGAATATGGAACATTATCTGTTGCATTCACATTAAGGTGCTAGATAAGTGTTCACTGAAAGAATATTTACAATTTCCACTTTTTGCTGCATACAGAAAACTGTATGCCACGGTTAATCACAGTGCCTTTACAAGAGCCCAGATGCTATCAACCATGAGAAGCAAGGAGACCTGTATTTCAGCTGTGATAATCACAACATCAGGCTGAGACAGAGCGTAACACTGGAACTCCAGGCTTCAGTCAATCTGTCACTCCCTGAAGGTGAGCAATTTCCACAAAATACTGAAAATCTACACTTGAGGACATTCGCCATTTCCCAGTTACTGAATAGTTACATGTTACGCATTTGTGAGCATCATGGCTACAAAGTATGGCTGAGAAGCAGGATGTGGATTTTTATTAAAACATGCTGAATCAGATATTTAGCTCACTTCTACTGTTCTTTGTGTTTTCACCACTCCGACAGTTGTTATAAAACACTTAGGGAAGAACTAAAAAAGTCTAAAACAGGTGGTTTTAATCCCCAGTTCACATGAAAACACAATTTATTTTTTTCTCTTTTGAGTATACTTATTCTTTAATTTGAGTTCATATTTTTAAAAAATTAAGCTACATTGTTGACTGATATACTGCAATTTTTAATCAACAGAATTAAAGTTCATTTCAATGAAATGTCTAGTAATTCTTCTGATGATACTACCCTTGCTTTTCAGTCTAACTTCCAATTTATGTAGCTTTTCATTAAATGAATTATTTGTAGTATTTCTCCTTCTCCTTATTCCCTTCCATTTGTCCCTTTTTTTAGTCTTATAGAATAAAGCCCATTACCCAACATCAAACATGATGAACTTTATAAAGATTCTGCTCAAATGGCTATATTGAATATGATATATCCTTCAGTGCAAATAATAAACATGAATTAAAATATTACTGCGTGATTCCCAAACTGATTTTAATGCAAAGAAAAAACAGAATTCTTAATGAAAACAACTATAATATAATATAGCTATAGGTTATTCCCTATTTATATAACCACAAAGTACATTTGATTATAAATCTGGAAGAAAATCTCTGAAGATAACTAAAACAAAACAAAATAAGACAAACAAACAAACAACTCCCCCCACATACACAAAGAGCCTGCTACTGGGGCATGTGCCCTTGACCGGACTTGAACCCAGGACCTTTCAGTCTGCAGGCTGACGCTCTATCCACTGAGCCAAACCAGATAGGGTTCAGTGGCAGTATTTCTTTTCTTTTCTTTTTTAATCCTCACCAGAGGATATTTTTCCATTGATTTTTAGAGAGTGGAAGAGAGAGAGAGAGACAGAGAGAAATGTCAATGTGAGAGAAACACATTGACTGGTTGTCTCCTGCTTGTGCCCTGACAAGGGCCCTGGTCTGGGAGGAGCCTGCAACCAAGGGTCGAACCTGGGACCCTTCAGTCTGCAGGCCGAAGTTCTATCCACTGAGCCAAACTGGCTAGGGCTCAAATGGCAGTATTTTTTCTTATGACTGATTATTATCCCACTGTATATATGTACCACATCTTCTTTATCCAGTACTCTACTGAAGAACATTTTGGTTGTCTCCATGTCTTGGCCATGGTGAATGATGTTGCAATGAACATAGGGGTGCATATATTTTTGCGAATACATGTTTTCAAATTTCTCTACCTGAAAATTATATTCTTTTAAAAATTTCTATTTTTATTATATTAATAAATTCTTAAATGTGAAGAGTTAACTCTATCTCATATCTCAAGAATAAAAGTAAATGATTAAAATTGTTCTTAAAAAATCCAAGTAAATTAAAATTGTTCATAATTCTTACATTAATCCTTCTTTAGTTTCCCAGATTATGCCTATTAACTAATTAGTATCCTGTTCTTTATTTGGTCATAGGAAAAACAGCTAAGTAAACTGCTGCTTCATTTGTTAAGTAGCAAAACTCTTAAAATAATACTGTCCTCTTAAGCAAAATGTCAACCAGAGGATTTTATTTCTTGTTAAGTCCAAAGTCTAATCCTTAAGAAAATGGTAGTTATCCAAATACTAGGGCTAGGTCTATTAACAGGGCTTCTTAAAACAATGTCATTAAAGCCACTGAATGAAGGAGAGGATTTTCTACATAGTGATATTCTGATGAGCTGATTAATGATGTGATAAATGTCTGAACAGGATTTTCTAACAGTAGGAAATATATCTTAATGAACACAAGCTTTGGTAGACTTTCACCCACTCTTCCGTTCTCCCATTCAATCAACAAAAAGACTCTGAGGCTACCAGAACTGGTTAACATATTGCACACAATTACATGAATTTGGGTTCTCTGAACAATCAATTGTGAGACATTAGACTTAATTATTTAAAAACAAAGGCAAGGAAAATAAAATGCTCTCCAGTTTTAATCCAACGGTTTTGCACATTTACTGTGACAAGTTCTTTATTTTCCCTTTGTGGAAAATAGCCCAGCTGTAATCCTCCTCAATATTCAGATTGTAGCAAATGAGATAAGGATTTGCATAACATGACAAAAAGGTATGCAAATATATTCCTGGGCTGAGAATAAAATAAAATCTTCTTGCTACCACTATAAAAAAAAGGAAGAAAGAAAAAGTTAAATACAGAATAGATATATAAAGGTGATGCTGATTATGCTATTCTTTTATAATCTAAAAGTCCTTTATGTCTAGATACATGATCACAGCCACCTAATTAATACCTTTAACAAAAACCTAAGAAATTGTTTGCTGGAGGAACTCAAGGTTTTACCAACTCCTAGTCATTTTTTCCTCCCAGGTAAATCCTTACCTTTGCCTCTCCACATGAAAATGAGTATTCTAACTTCTTGAATACCAGATTATAATGGGCAAGTAAAGAAAATCAGATAGCAACTCTATTTAGAGTGACAACATTGCTCTAAAAAAATAAATAAAAAGAAGTTCTTGGCATTTTTATTAATAGATACAAAGTTTCTTCTCTTCCTCTTACTGCTCATATTGTACTAAATTTGCAAGTTTTAATTCTTTTTCAAAAAGCACCAAAACGAAATCCTTGAGGGACCTGAAGCAGACCCATTAGAGACTTAACCTTAGGT